TCAAGCATCAACTTTCGACACAGCTCTCGACGGACGGCAACGTGGCAATCCAGTTCAACTGGTACACTAACTCGAATCGACCACATAGCAGTAAGTTACCGTTGGTGTGGCTCAGTGCAAAATTGCACGTCCTATTGAACCACCTGCGTTGAGTCTGACCACGTATTAGTTTTCATGCAGTTCACTCTCAGACCGACTGATCGGCGACAAAACCAGCAAGTTCGGATAGCTCATCAACGACTATCTGCTCTAGCCGTTCGTGCACTCTATGAGTCAGAGCTAGTGCATAAGCTAAGTGCGCTTCAGCGTGGCGATGTAGACGAGCAGTGGGATCAGATTAGGCGAGCAATGCATTCCGCAGCGAATTTTGCTTGTGGGTCTGAGCCTCAAACCCGTCGGAGGCATTGGATATCTCAGGAGTCAGTAGCCCTGATGGAATAAAAACGACAAATCCCGACCTGCCAGGATCAAAATAGAGTTAGGTGGCATCTACAACGTCGGCTCAAGAAGGACTGTGAGAACTGGTGGGCAACAATAGCTAGTGAAGTAGCAGCTGTATTAGGTAATAATCAAAGACGGTTCCGGCTGATACGCATTACGGGAGGTCGGCAAACCCTGGTTAGTGAAACAGTCTGCGATAAGAGGGGACGAGCTATTCACAATAGGGATCAACGACTCGATCGCTGGGCAGAATACTTCAGTGAACAGTTCACCTGGCCTAGTGCTAACCAGGCTGCTTCATCTCCAGCTGAAGCTCCGTGGGCAGTGTGATGCGATCCTCTAACGGAAGCAGAAGTTCGGTCTTGCATTCAAGCTCTGAAACGAGGAAAGGCAGCAGGATCTAATGAGCTCTCTCCCACTCTCTTCAAGATGGGAGATGATAACCTTGTAACCTCTATTACTACATTACTGCGCAACATTTGGATGCAAGAGCGCATTCCTTCATCTTGGGGTGAATCACTGATCATTCCCATTTTCAAGAAAGGACCCCGCAACGATTGCGAAAACCACTGCGGGATCAGTTTGATCCCGATCGTCACCAGAGTGCTAGCTTCGGTTATAATTCGAAGTCTGACGCCTTTAAGAGAGGCAAACATCCATGAACAGGAAGCCGGATTCCGGCCTGGCCGTGGATGTATTGATCAGATTTTTACATTGCGTCAGATTCTTGAGCTGCGTCATACTTACCTTCGGCCAACGATCGCAGTGCTCCTTGACCTGAAATGAGCATTCGACTCAGCTGACCGAGAAGCTCTGATGGGCTCCCTTCTTCAAAAAGGAATGCCCCAGAAGGACGTTAACCTACTGAGGTCACTGTACTCACATACCTTCGGTCGTGTAAGTGTCTACAACGGGTCTACAATGGCGTTTGTCACCAGCAGCGATATTAGTCAAGGGTGCCCTCTTTCGCCGTTCTTTAAGAACGCACTAAGTGGACTCCAAAGCGTAGGTATTGAATGGGCAGCTGGATAAAAGCTGTGCGATTTAGAGTACGCTGATGACATCGTCTGTCTGTTCGGATGTATGGGAAACGCGCAAAGCGCACTTGATAGATTAACAAGTGCAGTAGCCACATTCGGTATGTGCTTTGCTTGAAGTTCAAAGTGATGCTACAGGACTGGGTTTCGTCTACTCCCGCTCTGACACTAAATGGTCAGGATTTAGTTGTGGTGGATTACTTTTCCTACTTAGGTAATTGCGTGACCAATGACGGTAGTGCAGCAAAGGAGATAACCGCCCTCATTTCCAAGGATCGAGTAGCATACGCAGGACTGAAACACCTTTGGCGTAGACGCGACGTTTCACTAAAGTTGAAAGGTCGTGTATATCGTGCTAGCGTTCGTTCAGTCCTTCTTTATGGTTGTCAGACCCTGAATTTGCGAGTAGAAGATATCCGTTGAGTAGAAGTTTTCGATTATCGGTGTTTACACAGTTTAGCCCACGTGGGATGGAGCGAACGGGTTAGTAACGTGGAGGTAAGCCGTCGTGTGTTTGGGGGTCGATCAAGTATAAACCTGCGAGCACACCGAATTCAGATTACTAGGCTTCGCTGGCTAGGGCACGTATTACGTATGCCCAG